GGATTTCCGCGCGAATCTTCGAGTACATAAGTCACGGGATTAGTTTCCTGCACTTTAACGATTTTTAACACTTTGGTCGTCCAATTTGGCGTGTAACCTTTGTTAAAGATGGTCTTGAATTTACTCACGCGTTCCGGATCTTCTACTTCAAATTTGGCCGGTGTCGCAATCTTTACGTTGCTGTATACCGTATTTAAAAGTTTATCGGCGATCGCGGGGGTAACACCGATAGGCCTCATACCGATAGTGCGATGTTTTCGCGCATTGTACTCATCAACGAGCCAGGGCAACGCGCGGATCCATTTGTAATTTCCATTAAGCGTAAACATTTTCCACATATTGTTCTTTAACGTTCGGTTGATTCGTTCCACGACCGAGGCTTTCATGACAGAGTAGTATAGCTAGGGCGGTTCTAACTCAGGTCCTCTGAGAGGAGGTGAGGGGCGAGGGGAAACGCGTCCTAACCGGTAGGCGAGGGGTCTGCGGAGATGGGGAGGGGAACCGCGTCCTAACCGATAGGCGAGGGGTTCGCGGAGAGGGGTGAGGGGGCCGCGTCCTAACCGATGGGCGAGGGGTCCGCGGAGAGGGGGGAAGGGGACCGCATCTTAACCGATAGGCGTGGGATCAAGAGGGAACGCACGCGAGTAGAGAGATAGCGCGAGACGTCCACGAGTAGGTATGAGAGAGATAGCGCTAATGATAATCTATGGGCGTGGGAGAAGGATAGCGCGAGGCGTCTATATGAGCGTAAGACAAGTATAGCGTTAAATATTAATAATAATAGAAATATAATATAATTTAATGGTGACGCTCCATCTGAAACAAACAAACAAAGAAATTAAATTATGTTAGTATATTAATTTAAATATTATGAAATTTAAAAAAAAATACTTACAATATTCACCATACTTCAGTCTCATCATATGGCTCGAGGCCGAATAATTTTCGAAGATCGAAAATATCTTCGAAAGCCCGTGCGACTCGTACTCGCGAGCCTCTTGCGCGTCACCCCAAAAGTTTTCATGCTCCCACCGCATATTGCGCCGCAACCACCGCGTGTATCGCCGGTCCAGGATATTCAGAAACCGAATTTCCTCTTTATTATAACATGTAAACCACTATCGAACGGCTTTGAACGGCTATCGAACGGCTTTGAACGGCTCTCAAACGGCTTTGAACGGTTATCGAACGGCTATTAAACGGCTTTAAACGGGTACCGAACGGCTATCGAACAGCTTTGAACGGCTATGAACGACTATTGAACGGCTATCGAACGACTATTGAACGATTATTAAACGACAAAACAATTATTTATACGCAATTCAAATATTTAAAGTCTATGTCCATGTACTGAAATATAACATCTGTAATCTAATAAGGTGGCTGAAACCACAGTCTAACATCACGTACTGAAATTTAATACTCGCAAACTGGGATAAGAAAGAGGAAAAGGGAAGAATAAAAGAGAATAAAATATATTTTAACAATAGGATATCTTCATAGTCCGCATCCAAGGTCTCAATAATAACGTCGTTTCTCGCATCATCGTCAAGTATATCGGTCAACCATTCTCGTTTTCCGTGTCCTTTAACGTACACGATAGAAGATGCTCCATCTTCCTCTTCCGTCGCACCCATCACAGCTCTCGTAATCAAATGCCTAGCGAAGCTGTATGGAACGTTTCCATCCTCCCATTGAAGTCAATGGTGATGCCCAATTAGCCATGAAGCTTGGCATCTCTCAGATTTTGTAAGCGCACGCCATGGTACGGGACTTGCAAAAGAGTAGTGAGAAAGAACAAATCCATTTCTGAGTATCGCTACTTCCTTCACGACAAAGTTTTTCCCAATAATGAATCCTTGCAGATCCACAAACGTTGGCGCGATCACGCTGATAATATTACTGTACGATTGCAAGAACGATGTACGACTGCTGTCGATCGTCAAAATCTCAATCTTTATATATTTTTGACATTGGAGGGGATATTTGCTGATTTAGGTAATTTTACGAACTACGTTGGTCAATGGGCAATATTCGACAACGCGATCGTGCAAGATGAGACAATAGGAGGTAGTATTTGCAGGTATATCCTCCTTGCATTCAAACTCTAATCTCACGTCCACGGTGGAATTTTTGACAGACTCGTTTTGTCGCGAGCAATCGATAACCGCGAGAGGACCGCAATGTAAAAATTTTGAAATGTTTAATAGCACATCATCATTATCACATCCGTAATAAGATTTGCGAAAACAAGAGTACATATCGAACAAAAGGGCGAATCTATTTTTATCGAAATCTAAATTCAAATCATCGTAGTGATAAAATTCTAAGTTTAGATAGAGTTTAATGTTGGTCAATTTGCAGTCGTCGAATGTAGTATATCTTTTGACACAGCATTTTTTCTGTCAGTCTGCAGCGCAAAGATCACGTATCGCGGTTTCTCCAGCTGAGAGGCGGCTTTCACGGTCCACGAATGCTTGGTCGTATTATGCAATAGAGGAAATTCGTATAGAACCCATGACCGAAAACTTATATTCAAGTATCGCCCGCTTTCCAATGCGCGTAGCAAGGATAGTTTATTGACCTTGCTCAATATTACATGAGGCATACGCCGTTGTATCTTGAATAATTCGATATCAGCTTCAGTCAAAGCATTTCCAAATATGCAATTGTTGTCGTTGCGCGAGTGAAGCGAGGGGGGGATTTAAGGCGGGAGGAGGCACGAACCAAGCATCCATCTCTTCCGTGGCAGCGGCACTGTCGTATCTGTGTAGGGCGTTTACACACTTCCTCAGCCCGACAAATAATTGAGATCTGTAAGTGAGATATACCAAAAGCTTTCATAACACATAAAGGAAATTGAGGAACCGTAGCCGCTCAGCGATGAGTCTTGACTCATCACCGGTATGAATGGAAGCCTCCTCGAGTAGTCCATCCTAAACCACTACGCCTAAGCAGCCCCCTCTTCTGCTCCCAATTAATAATACGATCTTCCACCGTCACCACGTTGTGGATCTAGTGGACAGATTACCAGCACTTACGCTGGCACAGATGTACACCGCAGAAAGTTTGGGGGTAGCCCGTAGCTACCCCGTAGGTAGCCCGTAGCTACCCCCAAACTTTTCGCGGCGCTCGTTGCCGATCGTCTGACGGATTGGGCGGTCAGCAACAACAAGCTCAGTCCGGCTCAGAAGGGATTCCTGCGAGACGAAGGTTGCTTTGAGCATAATTTTGTCTTGCAGGAGATCCTGACACCATTCGCCACTATGGGGGGCCTCCTCGAGGATCTACGTGCGGTTGACCGATCCCTCCTTGCTCCGTGGCAGAAACTGGAGGTAGTGGCTACCAACATCTTGCCGCGTATGGACTTTCTGCTGCGGGGGGCCACAGTGGAGAAGCGTCCGTTAAAGGCGGCGGACTTAAAGATCCGCCGCAAAGCCAAGGCGTGGCTCAACCTCCCGCAGAGAGCCAGCGCGGAGGTAGTCTACCTCCCCCCGAAACGCGGGGGTTGTGGACTACTTCCGCTAGCTGACCTCGCGGACGTCTTGTCCGTCGCGCACGTCTTCCGTATGCTTACCGCTGGCGACGAGACGGTCAGGTCGCTCGCGTGGGCGTCTCTGCGGGGAGTTGTGGCCAGGCGGATTGGCCGTCCTCCGACCAACGAGGACGTGGCGGCCTTCCTCTCCGGTTCGCAGGGCGAAGGCAGTCCGAAAGGTTGTCCCTTCGGTGGGAATGGTGTGAGGTGACCGAGAAACTCCTTGTCGGGTGCCGACATCCCGGAGGCGACACGGTCAAGGTGCCACCTGGTGCTCGTAACCAGGTGGTTACTCGTCTGCGCTCAGCGGTGGCGGCTTTTTACGCGCGGACGCTATTGCGGAAACCTGACCAGGGGAAGGTGTTCGAGGTGTCGTCGGGTTTGAGCAATCACTATGTTCGCGGCGGCGGCTTCACTCGTTTTGCCGACTGGCGTTTTATCCATCGAGCCAGATTGTACGTCCTCCCTCTCAACGGTGCTCGCCGTTGGGGGGAGGCGGACCGAAGGTGTCGGCGTTGCGGTGCGGCAGCCGAGACCCTTCCCCACGTCATCGGTCATTGTGGGGTACACTCCGCCGCCATTCAGCTGAGACACGACGCCGTGTTGCACCGCCTCTGGAAGGCTTGCCGTATGCCGGGGGAGAAGCGGGTAAACCAGCGGGTCGAGGGCATTGAGCGCGAACTTGGGGAGCTACGACCTGATTTTGTAATCAGGCACGAGCGCTCCAAGTGTGTCGTTATCTGCGACGTGACGATTCCCTTTGAAAACCGCTGGGAGTCTTTCGATGAAGCTAGGGCGAGGAAAGTTGCCAAGTACTCGCCCTTGGCTGAGGAACTCCAGCGGCGGGGATATCGCGTCGTAGTGACGGCCTTCGTCGTTGGTGCCCTTGGCTCGTGGGATCCGAGAAATGAGGCGGTGTTGAGAGTGCTTAGGATTGGCAACACCTACGCCTCGATGATGCGCCGACTTATGGTCTCGGATACCATTCGCTGGTCCAGGGACATCTATGTGGAGCATGTGTCTGGCGTGCGCCAGTACGCCGCTCCCTCCCGCCCCTCGGCTGGTGGGGTGCTCGCGACGCCTCCTCGCGCGATTCGCCGGCGTTGGCCCACCAATGCGTAGGTGCGGCACTTCCATAGCGGCCAGTATTTTTTGTATTCTCGTTTCGAGTATAAATGTCGGGTAAATTATTGCGTGCGATGTCTTGCCCACTTTTATTTATTTATTTACTCGCAGCGGCGAGGGAGCAGGGGACTAGTCCCCCCTGCTCCAATTTTTATTGTATAACCCTATTTATATTTTTATATTTTATTGCATGTTGTGTGGAGGCGATTAGCTGTGATCTCGATATACATTGCCCCGGTCAGTCAGCCGGGGCAATTTATTTATCATTGTTTTGACCCGTTACCTGGGGAGGCTAGTGCTCCCCCAGCTCGTTAGTTTTAAGGCCCACTGGCGGTAGGGGCTATTGTCTCCCGCCCATAGTTTTAATTTTATATTGCGCGCGGCAAAATGCCGATTTTAATTGTATATGCACCCCGGGGAGGTACTGTTTCCCCGGGGAACATTCGCTGAAAATAAACGGCATTTTATCTTTTGACACAGCATTTTTTCTGCCAGTCTGCAGCGCAAAGATCACGTATCGCGGCTTCTCCAGCTGAGAGGCGGCTTTCACGGTCCACGAATGCTTGGTCGTATTATGCAATAGAGGAAATTCGTATAGATCCCATGACCGAAAACTTATATTCAAGTATCGCCCGCTTTCCAACGCGCGTAGCAAGGAGAGTTTATTGACCTCGCTCAATATTACATGAGGCATACGCCATTGTATCTTGAATAATTCGATATCAGCTTCAGCCGAAGCATGTCCAAATATGCAATTGTTGTCGTTGCGCGAACGTATCAGAATTAATTCGTGACGAGCGTTAATCACAACTCGCTTATAATCTTCGCAAAAACCCAATAGTAGGTTTAGCGGCACGCAAAAATTGAAGTAAGCAGCATTGTGCGACATATTCCACGCAGCATTCTCCAAGATTTTACCTTTCTCGGTTGTTAGAGAGACATAGTTTTTAATCGTGGAAGTTATTCCAACATTTCTGTTGCTGTCAATCTCCACACCGTCGAGTTCATATCGAAGTTCATCAAACATAAACGCGACACAATTGTTTACCAATACCACTCTTGTCCCTTCATCTACAGTACGCACCCTCAACTTTCCCTCGACGTATGGAAAACTTTCACATGGTAACGTGTACAAATCTTGATGTTGTATCGGTATCCGTATCTCGTCACTATATCCAAGCGTTGTGTTGGCGTATGGATTGTACGTATGAGTCTCAATCTTGACGATACGATCGTCAAAGATCGGCTCGCCTCCGATATTCAAGATGTCAATCATATCGTTCAAGTATTTCGTACGACGAATCCCAATGATTTTAAAAACTCGCGATTCAACGCGCTGAGCTTCTTTTTAGCGTAACCAGATATCTGAGTATTGTCACCCGATAACGCAGTCACTCGCCTTCTCGCAAAAATATTGTCCCTCGTAAAGATATTGTCTCTCGCGTGCTCCGTGCTTTCGTTCAACACAAGCATTTCATTTGTCAAACGCTTTATTTTTGCCGCCGCCGTATATGCAAACCTATGGTAATTTCCTCTCCTCGAAAATCAAGCAAATGTCCTTCTTGATCAACAATGCGTATCGTTAAATCAGTAATGCTCCGTGCGACGATCGGTAGATAAATGATCTGTGCTGGCGTTTCCGATATCTTATATCCTGGCGGCACGCTCGGTGAAAATTCATGTATCGTGTGTACGCGCTTGTCATTGCTGTACGCGCCAGTGGTTACGCTGCATTCTATACGAATAATATTTACGCTAATAATATTTATCGGTACATCCGATTCGTGCCACTTCCGAGGCTGTAATATACGATTCGACGAGAATCCAAACAACGATCCAACGTTGCCCGGTTTACTAAAATTTATTCTATAGACACATTTGATTTCACTCTTTAGCGTATTATGATTAGCGCGAAGCATTATTGGATAATCACCGTGTTCTTCGATATCATCTTTATTCTCTTCTCACGCGACATCTTCGTCATCAATAATATCGTTGGAATCAACTACGCGTAGATGGTGTAAAATTGCACGTCGGAGATATCCGTTTATAGCGTGTAATTCGTACGATTCCTCGGGAATCGTAATTTCCTTATCGTCGTTATCAAAATAAAATTTATTATTCCAAGAATTCACGTTCAATATCGTATGATAAGTTTCAAAGTCCGTTAAACCAAGCTCGTAATCATCATCGTTTAAATCTATAGCCGAAAAGTAGCTTACAGCAAGAACGCTACTCTTGCCGGTCAACGTAAGCGTGAGTGACATGCTGGAAAACTGTCAAACGAATACTGAGTCGCGACGGAGAATTGTCAGGCTTTAAATTTATATCGATCATCGACCGTTTGAAGAAACCGAAGACAATTGTCCACAAATACTTTGATTATAATTCTGATAGGCCCTGTGATTGTATTCTATATTTGTAACATCCTGTCCAAAATGTCACACTAATTCCTTGGACGGTCAAAGATTTCCAAAACTATCGAAATATACTACACGATCTCCCCTCTTTGCATACGCAACCCAATGAGTACCGACGAAATAAAGTCCGTGACCTTCCATTGCGCGATTATGACATTGCATTTCTTCGAGCTGACGTTGCGCCGCCTTGCTATCGTTCACCGCCTTCGCGATTCCCGCTGCTCCGCCAGCCAATAAACCGAGAACTCCTAATAATGGTAAAATTGGTAAGATTACTAAGAAATTACGTGCGCGATAACGCTCTGTGTCAGACAGCCTCCGGCTTTGACGCAAGGTCGCGCAAGAAACGACGGGTAGCGCAACCGGAAGATGGTACTGATGCCGCAAACAAACAGTACGTGAAAATACGTGTCAAGCCTCTGAAAAACAGATGCTCGTGGAAGAATTGCATGCTGCAGCGAGAAAAAATTTCCCACGTAGACGTGTCATAGTACGCGGATACGAGGATCTGTGGCAGGCGGACGTGGTCGTGATGCGTCCATATGCACGATTCAACAAATGCTACAACTACACACTCACAGTTATCGATGTGTTGAGCAAGTATGCGTGGGCTGTACCGCACAAAAGTAAGAGTGGAAACGAGATGTCGGATACGATCGCAAAGATAATTCGAGACGATGGAAGATAAAGTGGCTGGGATTTGATGCGACAAACAACTCTTGGATAGATAAAAATAATATATTATAAATATGTTAACAATAATGCATAATAATATTCATGGAAGTTAGAGGGGAAAGCGCACGGCGATGAAGAAGAGAGAAGAGAAGGAGAGATCAAGGGAAAAGGAGAAGGAAGAAAGAGACGACAGTGCACAGGGAAGAATGGAAGAAGGAGCAACTGGAAGAAGTGAGAGGCATAATGGGAGAATGTGAAACCAAGGAGGGTAGAGAAAGGGAGAGGAAGGTGAAAAGAACAGAGGAGGAGAACAACGACAGCAGTGGAGGAGAACGGAGAGAGGAGGGGGGAGCGGTGAGAAGGAGAGAAAGTATAGTGGCCGGGTAAAGAGGAGAGAAGAGGAGGAAAGGAGATGCAGGAAAAGGAGGCAGGAAAAGGAGTTGACAGGACGGAAAGTAAGGAAGGAAATCCTGGTGGGACTTGGAAGAGAGAAGAAGAAAAGGAAGAGAGAAAGGGAGAGGAGAGAGTAAGAGGAGGAGAAGGGAGAATGTCGAGAGAAAAGGTGGCAAGGGAAGAGAGAAGAGGAGGAGGAAAGAGCGAAGAAGAAGGATAGAAGAGAGCAGAGAGGAAGAGAGAAAAGAAAGGTGCGCGGTGGTAAATAATAGGAGACTATAGGTTGATGGGAAAAAGGGGAAGTGGGATGAGGAAAGAAAGATAAGGTGGGGGAGAGATAGACTGGAAGAAGTTATGGGTAGATGGTAGGGAATGGGAGTGGGATGAGGAGAAAAAGGTATGGTGGGAGAAGAAAAGAAGGTAAAATTAAGTGAGCGAGAAGATAAAGACTGTAGAAAGTAAATGGGTGAGGATGAGAGTTGTATGGAAAATTGTAACCCCTTTGGGGAATCAATAAAGAACATTATCTATCTATCTATCTATTTATATACGTACCAATCACAGATATATTTCTTGTGTTCTTTTTTGCTCAATTACAAGCTCACGAGCCTGGATAGATTCTTGATCCACGCGAAATGTCCAACGTTGTTGTCTTCCACGTACAGCAGGTCGACGTGTTTGTCTCTCTTTAGCTCGCTCAGACGTATCGGGACAATGTTCTTTTCCTCGATACTATATACATTGATTGAGATATCGTTAGCAAGTTCGAATTTTTTAATTTGGTTCACAGTCACTGGAAACTCAATGTCCTGGAGATTCAGCACTGTTGTATAATGAGGATACGAAGATTCCCGAGTATTGCATCGGCCACTTGTGTGAAAGGTTCATATAAAAATGTATCCCACTGAAGGAAGCCGCATGAATTATTAGGTTCCGATTCAAGATGCTGATGAAACATCACCGTGTAAGAAGAAGAAATGTAACAAGTAAGTTTTAATTAACTTAAAGAATTTTTATATTTTTTAAATATTTTTTTACACCTTCTAAATATTTATATAAATAATATTGTTTTTTACTCCCTAGCATTTCATCCGAGCCTCGTCGTGCGGTTCGTATACTCGGAAGACGATACGCCTTAACCCCGACGTCATACAAATATTTGGACATTGGAATAAACGTTGGGGCTGTATCTTGCGTGGAATTGGTTCTCGGCGACAATCGAGGCAATCAAATAATATTACCTTTTGAAACGTGGAAATCGCTAATGCAGAAACGTACGGACATTGAACGGCTTCTACAATCGACTGAAACCCCATTGCGGATCCGAGATTTGACACAGGAAGTGGTTAAAATATCTGATTCGAATATTATAAAATTTTTAAGATCTTCCGGATTTTCCGGCAGAATTTGATATACTTTATCAAAAATAAAATTCGCAACGCGTGTGCAGAAATCACTCCTGTTATGGTTCAACGAGTGAGAAAAAATTTCATGCGCAGGATTGCTTTATGTTTAGAGCAAAATGGGAATTGTATCGAAACATTTGTTATAAACATTGCAATAAAAAAAGATTTTTGTTTAAATTTGCTTATATCTTATCTGTGTTATTTTATTTATATTATTAAATATTACAACTATACACTATACCAGAGTGGTAAAAGCCGATAACTTTTTCTTTAGTTCGGATTTGCATTCCGACTTTATTCTGCAAGCCGAGTTAAGTATGCCCCTGCCGATAGGCAGATAGGCAACCCAACTTACTGATGTGTATGTTGCGGAAGCACCCTGTACATGACTAAGGGCCAATTTCACCAACCTCGGTTAGATTAACCGACGGTTAAAATTAGCAGGGTTTCAACTGAAATGATAAGAATGCTTGGTTTTCCTTCACCTCTATTTTCTGTTGGCCACCCTGCTAACCACATTCGATAATTGTTTCATTCGCTTACGTTTTGATTGATTTGGAGTAGAAGTTATTAGCGAATCGTTCAATGATATATCTGACCTTGTTCGCTTTGTTCCAGACTCTTTTTTCAGATGTTTGTCTTCGAGCATACTCGATGGTTCGATTTTTGCTTCATTAGATTCCACATTGATTGTATTCTCGACAAGTTGTTTTAGAGGTTCGATAATTGGTTTAAAGTGTCTCTCCAATGCGATGTCTTCCTCCATTTGACCAGTTTTTAATGAACGATATTTTGTGCGGATCGATTCGCTCGTTTTTACAATCTCTCTCGCAATCTTCTCACGATCATCGCTGTCAATTGTCGTCGTCATTTGCGTGTCGCGAGCACGACATAGCTTATTCCCGAAGCAACGCTCTCGGTCAACGACACGTTGCGGATAATATACTCGCCACAAAAGCGCGAACACGTATTACCGCGAGAGATTCGAATCTTGGCGAAAAAGCAGCCGCTATAGCTGTTTGAGCGTCTATGAAAGCAAAGAAAAAATTCGGTATAGGAATGAAAACAAAAAAATCATCGATGAAGAAAAAGACTGTGAAAAAACGAATACTTCCTATAGCGAAGCGCGGTGGTATTTACCAATTTTACCATTACTATGAGTTCTTGGTTTGTTGGCTGGCAGAGCAGCGGGAATCGCGAAGGTGGTGAACGATAGCAAGACGGCGCAACGTCAGCTCGAAGAAATGCAATGTCATAATCGCGCCATGGAAGGTCACGGACTTTATCTCGCTCCATACAAGCGTGGACGAGGGTTCTCAACAGCGGCCAAGAAAAAAAACGTCAAAATAGCGATAAAAATGCCTGTCAGTGTAACAACCAAT